CGATAAACGTATCTCTGTTTATTTTTTAAAGCTACTTTACAGAAGTCTCTTTTGCATACAAAGTTTTACAAATATTATTATTTAGAAACCGTTCAATTAAAAAACAAAATTCAAATATTCACATTTTGTTTATTGATATTTTGTTTTTTTTTTAGTGCTACAAACTTAAGGTTATTATTTCAGGCTTAGGTCCTTAAAAAGTGCAATTTAGCAAAGCTTAAAGCTTTGTCGAGCAGCTCATTAACTGCATGTTCAATGGAGCAGCCCCACCTCCCCCAATACCGCCCGTGGAGCGCCCATTAGTGACCCATTGTGCCGATTCTGTTCCTGTTCTTGTTCTTGTTCCTGTTCCAGTTCCAGTTCCAGTTGCCGTTCCCATTCGCCTTTGTCCACTTTCGCTTTCTTTCGGTCTCCCCGTGGTTCTGTGTCCCATTGTCAGCGGAAATTATATTTTGCTGTCAGCAGCTGCCAGCAGTGAGATGCACTGAAAAAAAAAGCTAAAATAAAACAAACTACGTATGTAAAAGCTCACTTTTTAGTCTGCAATCTTGCTGGCTTCAATATATATATCTCATTTTTTTGTGAGTGTATTTGAAAGGAAATGGAACTTTTGGGCTGCACCTGTTTGTCTGTCAGTCTGTCTTTCATATCCAGTCAACAGACAGCAGCCAGAAGCATCATCAGCACAAATCCATATAGTTCCGGATGCGAGCGTTATAAACCCTTCTCCTCTCTCTCTCTCTCTCGCTCTCTCTGTCGCTGTCTCTGTCGCTGTCTCTGTCGCTGTCTCTGTCTCTTTCCCAAACAACACGCTTCCCTTGCTGACCATTGGTGGTTTCACTTTGCACTCATTGAAACTCCAGACACTGTGCTCATAAAAAAAAAAGGTGGCGTCTCTCCGCATTAATTATTTATTTATTCAAATATGCTCTTGGGCTAAACGGCGTGCAGAAAAATGGGTATATCTTAAGGGATTACATATTAAAGCAAGAGCAAAATTAACGACATTTGAAACCACTCCAATGAAAAGAAAAAGTTCCAAAGTTCTGCTTTAGATTCACATCAAATTCAAAAATATAAATCGATAATTCCCAAAGCATACAAAACTCTTTAAGCTGCTGTACATTTTTTTCCCCAATAATATCTCTGTTGAAGCTGTCAACTCTACTTTTGCTCATCTTATTCAAACAATCGGAATCAGTCGCATCGATGTTCCACACATATCCTTGTCTTATTCATCATAAGCTATGCCCAACTTTAACTTTTACTTTGCAACTTGAATTTAGAGAAATCTTTTCGCTTGCAACAAAGTCAAATGCAACAATGAAGCAATTCAGCTAAATGCCTCGCATTTCTGATCTCTTTCAGTAACAGAATGCAAGTCCTAATAAACTAGGCCACCTAAAATATTTTGTTCGCCTTGTGTCAACTGTCACTTGTCCACACACGGGGGCGGGGATTCAGGGGGTTTTGCAGTAGATGCCAACAGCAGTTTAGTTAATTTTTGAGCGCCCCATTAAAAATGACTCTGCAACAATTTTCTTTTGATGTAATTGCTGTGGAGGCAGGCAGCTGAGGGGTTGTGGTTTGGAGGGCAGCCTCGTTGGCCAGTTCATTGATTAACTGCTTTAGCTCTCTCTCTCTCTCTCTTTCTCTCTCTATCCCTCGCTCTCTCTGGGCTCGTGTTACATTTGACATTTTCATTTAAGACTCGTTGCTGTTGCTGCTTATTCATCTTCGTTTCATTCGTTGTTTTTGTGTTGTTTTTTGTGTGTTTTGTTGTTGGGCTTTCTGGCTTGGCAAATACCTGAGAATGTTTGGTAATTTAGATCAAAGGCAGGGCAAGGACTCTACGTGCAGGCATTTTTTCTATTTTATTTTCTTCATTTTTTTTTCGCCCCCGTTAAAGGAATTTGTTTTTTGGGTTTTTTTTTTTTTTTTTTTTTTTGTTTTGTGTTACACAAAATTATTTCTTACGCTCAGATTAAGTAATTCGCGCGTGATACTTTCAATTTCGATGTTCTTGTCGCTTTTTTAAAGAGCCAACGAAAACTCGTTTCGGGCATTCGCTTTATTTTCTTGGATATACATTTCTTATGGCAATTATGCGCTGGATTCGAGAAAATTCGAGAGTGAACAGTTGCAGTCCTATTTATCGATAATTATCTGGCCGCCAGTTGTCAAGGTTGTCACTTTGTAAGGATGTAAATAACATAGCATACTTTGTGTATATAATGGCATTATAAGTATTTCAGTTTATCTACGCAAAAGTGACTGTTAACATCATTTTAAATGTTTAACTATTTTAAGTTAAATTACTTAAGATGCTTCTCATATTTTAAACACACACTTTTTTCAATGTTTTACAGCGTATTTAAATATGCACACTCTCTCTCGCTCTCTCTCTCTCTCTCTCTCTCTGTGTCTCTCTGTTATAACGTATGCACAGCTTAATCATGGCCCAAGTAATCCTGAACACGCAATATAATATATGTAGATATATACACGTATATATATATGGATGCACGGTGGGAAACATGGCTGAATCAGACTTCGACTTCGCCACACAAGTTGACTGCTAATGCAAATTTCAAAAGCGGGTCAAAAGCTTAACCAACTGTTGTGCCTGTGGGTGTGTGTGTGCCTGTGGGTGTGTGTGTGTGTGTGCATGGGGATTTATCCTGGCAATTGCAGTTGCAGCTGGCGTTGCACTTCAAATTGATTAAGGGAAACACGTTGCAGGGCTGCCAGGTGGCAATTGGATTGCCCAACTTAAGTTAACAACTTGCGGACCGATTGGGGTAAAGTTTGGCCAATACAACCAGCAGCATCATGTTATATACCCTTCACAATTGTGATTGGGTAGCATACATGTTTTACACATGAATGTAACACTCATAAAGTCAGCATATTAATTAGATCATGAAAAACGTAAACATGAAACAAAGACTTATATCTATATATAAATAATAAATGAGAAAATAATAATTTACTCTAGCCATGGCAAATTTTATACTGATTATAAAAGCAACATCTAAACAAATTGAGTAATATCACAAAAAAAAATATTTAATAATGGCAAATTTTACTCTGATTATAGAAATAAATAATTCCTAAATATGCTTTAACTTTTTATCTCAAGCCTTTATTCAAATCATAAAACATTTATATATTTGAAAAAGGTAAAAATTGACTACTGCCAAAATCTATTTGTTCCCAGTGTATGTCTGAGTAAAGGCTATGTTTAAGTCCGTCAAACGCTGAACGCAAGCATTCTTGTTTCATTTTCTATATAAACTATTTTATTGAGTAACCAAAACCCAGTCCCAGCGACCATAAATGTGTGTATCTGTGTGTGTGTGTGTGTGTGTGCTTGACAAACAACTTGAGCACACTTGGCAAGAAATAAAAAGGACTCGATGCAGCTGCCAACTTTTCTCGAAACTCGCACGCAACGACTTGACAACTTCCGCTCGCTCTCTCACACACACACACACCCCTACTATGTGTGTGTGTGTGTCTGTGAGGCTGACTGCCAGTTATTAAGTTTGCAGCCACAAACTTGCACATCCCAATAAAGTTTATGGTTCATTTTGATTGGGTTTTGTGCGCTGTTGGACTCCTTCAGTATTTTTAGTTAGCTTAGACAGCTCATCGTAAAAGTCGTTTTTCACAGTTGGATATTGGAATTCATTCACATTTTTGAGTGTTATTCGCTCAGTTGACAGACAATAAATAAGCTGGTAAGCTTCGCTTTTTCAGCTGATTGTAATCAGTGAATAATTCAAAAAGCATTTCGGATTAGTTAAAAGACAAGCTGAGAAACTGTTTTTTTTTTTTTTTTGTTTTGTATTCAATCAGATATGAAAATTGAAAGCTACCAAAAAGGTAAGATATTTTAGAAAACTCAAATCCCCCCTTCCCTATAAAAATTGCAAAATTTAATTGATTGAGAAGAAAATATATATATATTTATGTAAATCAATTACAACACGCTCTGCAAAACTAAAATATAGGCTTTATAATAATAAGCAATATCATATTTCGCATGCCTTATTTGTAGCTTATTAAATTCGTTATAAATGGATTTGTATTCATTTATTTATTTGTGCTGTTAACTCAAATAAATATATAAGCATATTTAACAATATAATAGTTGTTATCTTTTTTATAAACTTAGATTTAATTGATTTTTACGTAGTTTTGGCCCCAACCCAAATATTTTATATATAATTCGATATTAAAAGAGAAAAATAAATTAAATTAAATATCCCCTCAATGTGTTTTAAAACCAACAAAATATTCTTTTCTTCAATTTATTTCAGTGTATCTCTGTGTCTCTGTGTGTAGCAAAATTCCCAAATTCCCCCGCCCCACTTAACAAAAAAAAAAAAAACAAAGAAGTTAAACAACAATACCAAAAAAAAACAAAACAGGTTAATTTATTTTAAATGCAATTTGCTAAGGCATTATTATTCACTTCGGCTAGCCGAGGTATAAATACTCTTCCCTCGAATCTCAACGAAAAACTTGGCGTCAAACAAATTAAAAGGGTATATGGATTGTCTGATCGTCTGATTTAAAACGGTACCTAATTGTTAGTTAAAAATAACATGAAAGTTCCTGAATTCAAATAAGTTGTTATTTTGTGTTGATATATTGTGTTCGTATGGAAGAAGAGTACGGGGAATGAGTATAAAACATTTCAATTGAGTTGCAATTTTATACAGAAAAACAAACAAACAAAACTCAACTGAGGTGAAAAGCTCATCAAGTTAAAAGTGAACATTTTTGAAATGAAAGCAATGCAAAAGCATTTTGGAACGTTGTTACTTAAATTGTGAATAGTTCACATAGTGCACAGACAGGCAAACACCAGCGCAGAGGAAGGACAACAACAACAACCACAACAACGACAACAACAACAACCACAAGAACAGCAACTGCAACAAGAACAACAACAACCACAACAACAACGATTGGATATTAAAGGATATTCTGCAGTGCTGCAGGCGCAGAACGCCATGCGCCATGTCAAAACTTCGGCATTACAGGTCCATGGATCAGCCCAGCACCAGCGTCGTCATACGCAAAAAGTTAGCAAATCAAGTCAAAGTCTCCTATAAATAAATAAAATAAAATACACTATAAACAGCAAATAGTAAAGAGCTCCTTTGAAAAGCGACGCTTGAATTTAAGCTTTTATTCATATGCTTTCCATAAACTCACCTCTCCTCTCTCTAGACTTGTCATCAAAACATTTCTCAAATTCACCACACGCACACCGAAATTTGCAACAACCCAAAGCTTTCTCAAAGCTGCAAGCCTAGCATGAACAACACCCTTATTCCAATACACTTTGCATGTGCTTTTTATTATCCCATACGTAAACTTGCAGCATGCTTTTCATAACAACTAAATAATAAAAAAATACAAATATGTAAGCTAAAACTTTTTGCACTTCATACTTTTACACAATGCTTTCTGTATGCTTTTATCACAAGAAAAAAAAATAAGACAACAAATAAGGGAGAAAAAATGAAGTTCGAGTGTTGTGTACAAAAATTATTAAATAAGGCCACGGTTTTGAATCTACTTGAATCTCTGGCAAATCGAGCGAACAAATTTTATAATCATTAAATTGATGAAATTTATTGCCATTGGCCTATCCCAACAATAATAATAATAGGGTTTTTCAGACTAGATTTGTTCACAATAGGGTTTTTCACAACGCCTACGTAGGTATTTGCAAGGCCAAATTGAACTTTCACATCGATTTTCAAGCAGAAAAAGCTCTTTCACAAATCCTTCCACTGAAAAACCATGTGCAAGAACCACACTGAAAGCTTTCTCCACAAAGCTCTTTGCCCTAGGTTTATGAAGTCCACTCCACAGTGGTATGAAACTGCGGATCGCAGTCAATTAAAAAATACGCATAATATTAAAATTGTGAGCCTTTCATAAACAAACATATTAAATGAATATAGAATATATATATATATATTTATATATATATATATATATACAGCAATTTTCCTATGGCAACAAAAATGATATTTTGATGTAAAAATTAATTAATAATATTTAATTTTTGAGCTAATTATTTGTGTGAAACTTATATGATAATTATATGTAAAAATCACAGCTCAACTCAGACATAAGTTCACTTGTATCGGAATTCATTGAAAAGTGGAGTTTCTCCTATTGATTCAAGGTCATATCAATGATTTATTGAGCAGTTATCGAGTCGGCGATTTTCGCGCGGCGCCATTTAACTCAAGTTCAAAACAGCTTCCGTCTGCCAGCAGAGACAGGTGCATGCGCTTTTCCAGGGCTCGTTGCCGGGCAACATACAAAGCTTCAATGCCATGCATCATAAGAATGTGCACAATGCGACGAGCTGTTGCATTTCGCATCCGGAAGTTGAACGAGTTTGACGAACGTTCGCAGTCAAACAAAACACAAAAACTAAAACGCAAAACTATTGCACACTAAAAATATTAAATTTAAAAAAAAAATTAAATTTAAAAAAAAAATTAAATTAAATAAAAAACTGCTTCAGCATGGCTTCGTTGTTAATGCTTACAATTAGAGTGGTACTATTATATTTGGTTGCCTTTTGCTTGCAGGACGATGACGGCCGTTTGTTTCGTGTGCAACCTGCCGATAATGTCGCATCAGGTGGGCCTGGTATGGCAGGGAGGCAACGGCTGGGACGACTTGGTCCGGGAACAGGTAAAATCAAGATTAAAATAAATTTTAAAAAATAAACTTGCAAAAACAAAAAAAAGTCATTCATAAACTATTCATAAAAATAATATCATCACTCTCATAAGAAGAGTCTTTTTGAAGTTTACGGAAGAAAACGAACAGATAAAATAATTGCGCAATTTTTCAAATATGCACTTACAATTATGGAAATTAGAAAGTGCGTAGTATGTAATAATAGTAAATAGTAAAATATAAATATATAGTGTAAAATAATAAATATATTTATATATTAAAAAGAATTCCAGGAGCAATTTCGTAGTGGTGCTATTATTTGTTCGCATTATAATATATACTCCCCAAAATTCGATTAAACGCACTTGATTTTTTTCTTATAAAATTTAGAATAAAATAAAGAATGTTCTCTGTAGTTCTACAAGATGTAGTTAATTTAAATACACTTCAGATAAAAAAGGAATTAAATTTGTAACATGAACATAACATTTTTTTTTTAATTTCTATTTATTTAAAGTGAGGTTAAGGTGCGAAATTCGGTTAAAGACAGTGTCAATAAAAATAATATAATCAATGTAATATGTAGAAATTATATGAAAATAACAATTTAATAGCTTTTTAGTCGGGTGATCTTCCTGGCTATTCGAAAAACTTAAAACTCTTATCCCGAAACCATACACGACAGGCTCGCTACACATATATTGAAGCATTATCCAACTGAAATAAGCCATTTGGGTCTGGTTGATGCTCCATAAAGTTCACCAAAACTACGTCCAACAAGTTTCTATAACCCTCCGATCTCGTACGGCCTGAAATTTTCCAAATCAAGGTCGTGTTGCGATGACTTCAGGAGTGAAGCACCGGAAAAATTACATTTTGTTCCAAAACCAATCGATCATTATCTGATCAAATTTGTTGAAGAATATGTATCGATATTTTTATATTTGTAACCTTAAATCAAATAGAATTTTAGATGTGACAATATCCTGATATATAAACACGAGTGCCTATAATCGAATTTCGCGGAGTGTATATAGATATATATATAAATATATATATATATAAATTTTGTTGCCCAAATTCCTACTGATTTGTAGCTGGAGGAGTCGACGATCCGTCAACGTTTGGGAGGACGTCGCGATTCGGCGGCACAGATCACCACACCGCCGAGCCAATCGCCGCCGCCTGGCCTGCAGCGGCGTCGCCGCAGTTCGTTGGCCCAGCTAACCGATATACTGAGGGAATGGAGCGGTGGGGCGAACCGTCAGCAGCAGCAACAGCAACAACAACAACAGCAACAACAACAGCAGCAACAGCAGGCGGCTCGCAACAGATCGCAATTGAATCGTCGGGAGACACTGGCAGATTTGGCGCGCAGTCTACCATGGCGCACATCGACCACAGCGGACGCGAGCACCGGGGCTGGTGCCAGCTGTACCGTTACGTATGTGACGCCGCGGAAGCGTCGGGAGTCGAGCGCAGACTCGGGCGCACGGGGCATACGCTCCCGTCGCGAGTCCCAGACAACGGCAACGGGCAGCAGCAACGTCGTCACCATCACCACCGCGACAAGCGCCTCGACCGAATCTGCGAGGCACTGGCACCGGAGGGAGAGCTCCACTGCTGAAGAACCACAGCAGTCATCAACTGGCGGTGGCAGCAGCACCACTGCCTCCGTGCCCGTCGTCATCGAGTGCACGAAGAGCGTAAGTTTGACAACAACTACACCCACACAACCTTCGATATATATACACACACACACACACATACACACACACATACACACACACACACAGAACTACTAAAGCATACCACCCACACAAACACCATCCACTCACATAGAAAGTTCCCAGAACTTGCGCTGCTGCACCAAATTTTCTGGATAAGCTTCGCAACAATGCATTTTCATAAAATTTTACTAAAATCCTAATGGCATATTATTTTTTTAGTATAATTCAATGCAAAACAAAATGTAAAGCACATAAAAATATTTGAATGCAATAGGTAAGCACATGCAATGGCTAAGCACAAAGTAGTTTCGATTTAAATGAATGAGAATATTATAATAGGAATATAGAAATAGTAACTTTTACATATAAATGAGCCCTTAGCAAAAGTCATCCGCAATGAGTGTTATTCATAAAGACAACTAATAAATTAAGTTGCATATTTTCCGTGATGTATTTTTTTTTTAGAACGATTTGTTACCAAATACTAAAAGCACCATAAAACACATCACAACCAAAAATTAAAGCTTCGCTGGGTATACAACAAATATAGAATATATTAAGTACAAATTAAAAAGCTAATATATAAATATAATATTCGAACTGAAATCCGGCGATCTGCCCGGAAAAATGTTGCCTGTTTTGCTATCGGAAATTTTTGTATCAAGATCAAGCTAGGAAATTAAATAAGGATTACAAATAGCAAAAAAGAATTCCAGAAAGGGATTCTATTTATGGAAAGAGGAAATAGTAAAGTATTTTATGAATAAAAAGTATATATTTATACGATTGTCAGATTTAATACACTTTGAATGCAGCCCAACCTAACCCAGCCTATGCATGTCCTCTCTCTCTCTTTTTCTCTCTCTCCCTCTCTCTCTCTCTCTGTATCTATTGTGTTATCCTTGAGCAATGCACAGGCTTCGCGACGCGGCTCCGGCGAAAGTTATCCGTCGGGCAGCCGTCGCGACAGTAGTGTTGCTGGACGTGTAACAACTCCGCCTCCACCAGCCAAATACCAAATAACCAAGAAACGTGACTCACTGGCCGCACCGGAATTTCCCATTTTCCGGCAGGAGCAGCGTCCCTCGACCAGCTCCGCCGGCTCCAACTCAGACTCAATAAGCGTACCACAAATTTCAACAAGCAACTATCACTCACATCAGCAGGTGGACACCGCCTGCCAGGCCCTGCCGCCGCCGACAATTATCACCAGTTCCGTAACGCCGCCGGCGACCAGTCCGACAGCTCCGAAGGGTCGCCGTGACTCTACCACGCAATGTGGCCGAGGCCAACGGCGCGACTCCAAGGCAGGTATCAGTCCGGAACGTGTGCCCCGGCTGCAGCGATTGCAGCGTCAGGCGACCGCCTTCGATGAGAGCTGTCTGCCCGGCGGCAGCCGACGCGGCTCGCAGCCAGCGCTCAGTCCAGATCCACCCGAGGATTGCGAGCGTCGCACCTCGCGACGAGACTCCCTCTCGCCAGACAGCGCTTCGCGGGGCGGGCGACGCGATTCCCGGACCCATCTCTCTCCGGATCGATCGCATGAGCGCGACGGCAGTCCCAGGCGACACACGTTGCGGCGCCAAAGCAGCTCGGCGGCACGTTCGCCACGCTCCCCGGACTCCAACAGCTGCTCCTCGTCGCGGGACCCGAGTCCCTGCTCCCGCCCTCAACCACCGAATGTGGAGCAGAATCAGCGGCCAGCCATCCGGCGGCAGTCCACCACCGAGGAGATTCTCATCGCACGCGGCTTTCGACGACAGTCGACCACTGAGGAAATGATACGCTGTCGCAACTTTCGACGCCAGAGCTCCCAAAGCGACGATGTCTGCCGGTAAGGATATCTATTCGTATACCACTCTTAGTCCCTCAAACAATCGGGAAAAAAATAGCCCTGCATTTAAGAAATTCAGAAAGTAAACGAAGAATTTTTTCAAAAATTATGGTTTGCATTTCTACTTTTTAGAAATGCATTTAAGAAAAATAGAAAATATTTTTAAGAAATAGAAAAAATCAACATATTTGTAGGGCAATCATTTTTTATTTTAGGAAAAAGGTTTTCCTAAATTTAGAGACTATTTCCATTTGAAAGCGATTTTCTACCTTCCAAGTAAACCTTTCCTCAATGTTCAGTTAAACTTTCAATTAACTGCTAGTTATCAGTGAGCTTGAGCTTAGACTCTTCAAACGTAAAATGTATTCAAATTGGCCCTAAGCCGATTAATAAATACTAATAAGCACAGTACAAGGATAGAAACAAGTTTGCATATGAAAATTAGAACAATAGAACCAAATGCATTGTTCCATATGATGTTGACTAAGATAAAGTATTTGTGTCCTTCGATGATTTCTGAGTGCAAGTCAAGAACTCATTGTTCATTATTAGTTTAATTAATACGCACAGCTTATACAGTTGAGTTTTATAGAATTGCTTAGGCGGTGCACTTTCCAATTTGGATGTCACATGTTAGCTACAATGCAACTTGCTTTCAATTTGGTAATTATATATTAACCGCCAATCAATAACATTGGCAGGAAACTTGTCCTTATCTCTGTTTGAGAAGTCGCCAGTTAACCACAGTTGAAAGCCTCCTTGGAAATCAACATTGTTCTTTGACTTCCTTCGGTAATCTGCAGCTATGCACAGCTTGCTGAGAGGGAGTTTCAAGGTTGAGTGTGAAGCTAGTGATAATTGAGGATTTAGTATGTCAAGATATGCGTGTACTTAACAATCAGTCGATTGAAGTTATGTTAAAGTTGACTTATATTGACTTAATAAACAGATATTAATATATTTAATATATTATTCCGCAGGTATCGTGGCCGACGCGACTCATCAGCCCAGATTATTGATGGCACCATTGGCACCATGACCGTGGAAACAACTAGCACATTCTTTGACTCCAGCACTCAGACAGGTGAGTCACACTAGTTTGATACATAATAAATATAAAGTTGTACAAGATTTATTTAATTACTTACTGTCGACGAAAAATATAAAAAGTATATAATAAATTAAATGAAGTTCAAACTACAATTTACTATTTAAATTTAAAAACTCAGAAATATTTTCTAGCGATTTAAATGCAAATGGATCCAACATTCGTTGAAGAAATATTTAATAGAGCCAATGGACTTTCTAGTCTATTAACAATTTCAGAACCTTTTGCTTGACAAGTCTTCATTTTACTTAAACATTGCAACCTGCAAATAAAATCTAGAAGATTTCCTCGCTTCCCTTAATTAATACCGATTAAATAACCTCTTTGAAAGAAGTTGATAGCCATGCAAGTCAAACAATCTTTTGTGATCCGAAAATGTGAATAGATTAGTTTTATATCTTCTCCCGAGTTAAGATTCGTTAGACTCAAGTTTCATTGGAAGCTTATCATTTTGAAATAGAGAGCTTTTCACAAAAATTTTGATTGACTGTTTAATCATCCATCCCATATAAACAGGATATGTTTAAGATCATTCATCATTTCTCAGTCAATTGATAAAAACAATTAATGTAGTTGTTTTTTGTTTTAAACAATTGTGGAAAGTTCGTTAGCAAAATTCGCAGATGGGGCTGTCAACTTGTGGCAATATCCTCGAAAGCTTGCGCTTTGCGCAATCCAATTATTTTTGTTCGCAAGAAAGCTAAACTAAAGCTCCAAGCAGCTGTTGCTCAGCTGATTGTTCGTCGGCGTATGGCCAAGTTGCCAATGCGTGCGAATGAAATGGATGCCACCGTTCAGAGGGAGATAAAGTGTAAAGGGAAGCGAGTGCTCGCTACTCGCATCAGTTGGTGTTGAATCCTTCGACGTGCCACAACAGCAGCAACCAGAGCCCCGACGCCAATTCTCATTTCACACATCGCCCCAACAACAACACACACACTACACACACAACACAACACAACACAACACTTCACACACTAAGCAACACACACACAGAGACACACACACGCATCACAGACGAAAGTGAGGGAGAGAGACAGAGGCGAGACGCGAGTTGCTCCGTGTCCGTGTTGCACTCTGAACCGCATTCGAAATCGGAGTCAAAGTCAAAGTCGGCGTCGCAGTCGGAGTCGAAATCGAAGTCGGCGTCGAGTATAAAACGCGGCCTTTTTTTCGTTTTTTTTTTGGTTCGGCATCGTAAACAGTAAATACAAATGGAAATTGCGCCCACAGCGCTCTAACCATTTGCACCCAACCCAACCCACTCCACCCCTGTCCCATCGTCGCCATCATCAACAACAACAACAACAACAAACTGCGCGTCTTTCTCCTGCTCCCTGCGTGTAAATTCATCGACACTGTCTTCTCGACTATTTACTCACACACACACACATCTATTTTTTTCCTGTGCAAAGCAAACCATACAAAAGAGAGCATCTTACAGTTAGCTCCTCTTTTTTTTGTTTTTTTTTTTGTTGTTGTGTGTGTTGTGTGTGTGTGCAAACAACAAAGCAAGAAAACGAACCACAAACAAGCGAAAACAGCAAACAAGCAGCAGCAGCAGCAGCCGCAGCAACAGAGCAACAGAGAACGGCAGCGCAGTGGCCGAATCCGTTGATCCGCCGCACGCCGATGTCGCGGCGCTGCGCGGCGGCAGCGGCGGCGGCGCACGTCGACGGCACCGAACCCCCCAACAGCCATCGAGTAGCAGCAGCGCCAGCAGCAGCAGCTATCGCAGTCGCAGCGGTCTGTATAGAAACACACGTACACAAACACACACACACAACTATGTTATCTTATCCAAACAGCTGACAAAATTTTCACGATCTAATTCAATTCACAAAGTTATTGCCACGACGTTATAATGTTGATTCGTAATATGTACTTGAAGGCTTGCAGTTATTTATTAAAAGGAGATAATTTGTACACGACACGATCGAAAGAGCGAACGTGACACGACACGAATGAATGATTGCCCGCAGCAGCCAGCAGATCAGCAAGCGCCCTTTCCCGAGAAAGAGAGAGCGGGAGCGCTGTTAACGCTGCAAGCTATAGTTAAAGTGCAGTTAACATAGTCTACAAATGTAATTACAATTGAATAAAATAACATTATGTTATTATTTAAATTGTGTCAGGCAGCGCGCAAATTCAAATATACAAACAACTAAAACAAATTGATGTTTGTTTGTTGCTGCTGCTGCTGCCAACAAGCACTATTTTGCCTTGATATGCATACATAAAACAAAACACATTTCTATGTGACTTTTCGAACATTATCAAAGACCACTATTTGCAATTATATTTTATTCAAACATAAACATTTAGAAACCCCTCCCGTTAAAAGTTCTATAGGTTTGTAATTTTAATTTCATTTTCATAGGAGATGCATATGTTAGCCATACACAAAGAAGCTGATGAAGTTTGAATAGACCATCAATATTATGGAAACGTGCATATAAAGAAATATTTTTAAAAGTGTGATTTTGCTTTCTATATTTGGGTAACGCAGGAAGCTATCAATAAAATTAAATTAATTCGATATTGCAAATCTATATTCTCTAACTCTTATATATTATCGGCTGTAGATGCTGAGCTATAATATATATATACTTTCTGTATATTATATACATTCGCAGTATCGGAGCTGACTGCTTTAATGTGTTAAGCAATCTATATAATCCTCTTCGATATATTTTCATGCAATATCAATATTGACTATCAGACATTTATATACAAAGAATAAGTTAGTCTGTTGTTGCTTGCCAATTATGCACAGATATAATACGGAAATACAAAGATAAATAAATAAATCTAGACCAAATGCAAGCTTTCAGCTGTTGCTTTTCTGCCCCAAAAAGTAGGCAACATTTCTGACACACATTCGACGCACCCTTTTACTCTGTTTACATACAACACGACAATTGTGTGTGTGTGTGTGTGCGTGTGTGAGTGCTATTGAAGTTAACACACACACACACGCATAAATACATACACACATACACCAATACGAACGCCAAAAGAGTTGGCCAAAGTTCGCCTCAGTTTGTCACAGTGACTTTTAATGAATGAAAGTACCCGGGGTGTGTTTATGTACGTCTGTGTGTGTGTGTGTGTGTGTGTATGCTGACAGCAAATAAATGAATGAGTGCTGACTCGAATGCCAGCGCCATCTGCATTTGCTATCTGTCTGCGCCCTGCAACCTGCACCCTGCCCCATTCCCTCATTTACAATCGTGCTCAGTTTGCTTGCTTGTGAATGAAATGTGAGTCAAGTTTGGCGTGTTGCCTTCTTTACATTGCAACAGCGAGCAGCCAACAGCCAACAGCCAACACACCCAACACCCCCACTCGCACCATCCGCAACACAATTTGCCACAGTCTAACACATTTTAGCGGAGAATGGTGCAACAAGTTTTCACTGCAAAATGTCTTGCTGGCAATTCGCAATCGAAAGACACTTTTCCCATTTCGCATTTCACTTTCCTCAATTGCCAATTCAGTTATCTTTATTTTTTGGAATGCGAGCACCATTTATTTGTACTCGACTCGAGCAGTCTTTTTTTGAAGGCTTTCCATTTATTATCTTCCGATTCACTTTTTCGTATTTTAAATTGTAAGTCTTTGACGCTGGGTATTCATGCTTCTGGCACATTAATTCATTATGCTTTAAGCTAAATTTATGTAACAATTTAAGCTTCATTTGCTCAATAATTCTGTTATAAATTAGTGGTAATTTCTCGCCAATTTATTCGTTAGTAGAATCGCATATTTGTGCCAGATTATTTGTCGAGCATTATTTCGACGGTAACACACGGCTGTAATTGTAATTAATTCAAGGCAATATTTAGATTGAAAAATATTGGGTGCTGTGGTCTCTGGGCCTAGTTAATACCTGATATTATTGATTATTTAATATGCAATCAAGGCTGCAGAAAACACTTTTCCCAGTTCTGGTTCTGTCATACCAATTGGACTTGTTTTTTGGGGCTTTCAGGTTTTCTGCATGGCATGGAAAAATAAAACGAGCAAACGCCTTTTTTCTCTTGTTTATGTGCCAATAACTTTATTGCATTTTACGAGCCACAAGCAACATTAATTGGGGACCACCAAAAAAGAACATTCGAAATGCTCTCGACTTCAAAATACCCTGCAGTTTCACTCTAACATCGCATAAATATCCATCTGTAGTATATATACATTTATATCGACTATTGTATATCATTTATATCATTTATAAGTCTGGATAGAAAATAATTGAGTATTCAACGTCATCTGGCATAAATCACGTTGCTGCATTCAGCTTGCAAATTGTTGCACACATTTGTTACACGAAATCAGTTGCAGTTGCAAGCAGAGTAGCTCGTTTTTGCTTACAGTGATATCCATTTCAATCATGCCACAAATTCCGGCATTCATGCATTACTAAAGCACAGCATTTCTCGTTTCTCGTTTGATTCTGGAGACACAAAATTGAAATATGAGACATGCTTTCATGAATTCCACTCTCAGCATGATGCCGCTTTGTGCAAATATACACACACACATATGTATATTTCCAATTGATATATGTATGTGCAGATGTGTGTTCACATTTTCTCTTGCCTAACATATCGACAAATATATGATGATGAGCAAGGTGTCACACTGAAACGCATTTCGGTTCCAGTTCCGGTTCTGGTACATAAAGTGTAGAGTAAAAGAAAAAAAAAACTTCAATGTTTTGGTTATATCAGTTCCTGTTACTGGTTCCTATAGAATTGCAAGTCAAACAAGAAATAGGGACTTTCTTGGGCCAAACGGAGATAGCATTAAAGCTATCACTCATACATAAATGATCTAAGACAGTTTCCTATACCACATCTCCATCTCCAGATGTATATGTGTATAAATTCCAACACCGCATAAATTTTTTGCCAATCTGTGCAACTCGCTGTTGGCTATTTGTGGCACTCTCTTATCTTGTATTTTGCTGGCCT